TATTTCAGTTTTTGTTTGGACAGTTTTATTGAAGTGAAGTGCAAATGTTGTTATAGCCTGCCAATTTGCATTCCTCCATGTGATCTGTTACACGTACCTACTACATACTAGCTGGCAATTGGTTATACAGAGCTCTGAATATGAATTATGTATACAAAAATAAGACGAAACTATGGAAAGAGACTGCGAAAAATTGATTTTCTACTTTGTTTTCCAATATTCAAAATGAACAAATATCCTTTCTTTTATTTTGTTAATCCATACCAAAGCACAGGAAAGGGTGAAGCATTAGTAGCTATAAATGGTTGCAATAGAATTCCTTTATTCAAAATGTACGCTATTCACACGCTGCACTTACCTACTATGGCACATACGGTAACAGTATCGTCAACAACAAGAGGAACTTGCAATTCCCTTTATATTTCCAATTTTATATTTCCCGTAGTACCCTCATGGTAAACTTTGAAAAACGATAATCAAGTCTTCGTTAATTCTGGGGAGGGGGGGGGGGTATTCCACGCCCCCTACACTCTTCAGTACTAACTTCTTCCACAAGGCTGCCCAGCCTTCAAGGTTATTGAGTCGTTCTTTTTGTTGAGGATACTGGTTGGCTGGAGAGTACTCCAAAGCGGTTTCAGCGAATGTACTAAGCTAAAGCTTGGAATCTTTCCGTAGTTTTCTCTTCTGCTCCGACGAGATTCAACCACATGAACTAGAACTCGACCATTTATACACACTAATTTCAATGTAAACCAATTAGGATTAGCGCAATTTGGTAGGCGTATTTAGTAGAAATTGAGAACGTAAGACTGAAGTAGAGATTTTTCGGGCAGTCTGTTTTATTTATTTAATTATTATCCCTCTCTTGTTCAGGGCCCTCACCAGGCTTGCGCCCAATTACACAGTGAGCCGCATAATGCTTTTTAGAGGTGCCTCTGCAGAAGGTCTTAAGTTGTTCTATAATACTCCGGTATTTACCTTGCGAATTAGGAAAACTGCAGGAAAACCTAATTCGAAGTAACCGGCAGAATGCTCGAAACTGGTCTAAGGTCCCATCTCTGCCACAGATGAAAAATTCACCTCAACCCAGGTTCGACCACCCGACCTCCGGATTTATAGTACAACGGTCTAACACTGAACCATACAGCCGGACTTTTTCCTTATGAAAAAGTAGTCAAAAACACCCAAAGAGGCCAGTGAAAACCGTTTTCAAAATCTCGTTCCTAACCTCAAATATTGGGTGGAAAAGATAAAGCAAAAACGAGAAGAAACGATTGTAGCCAACATTCCAAAAATCTCGATGAACATGGAAGAGTAGTCATAGGGAATAAAGAACTAATGGCCGTTTGCACCGACAAATTTAAGCGGAGCTTAGCTTAAAATCCATGGCATCAATTATTGAGACAATGGTTGCCATGGATTTTAAGCTAAGCGCCGCTTAAATTTGTTGGTGCAAAACTGCAGACGGTCATAAGGCGGATGCGACGTAATTTTTCCCGGAATTATGACGTGTTTTGTTGTAAAACATTCGACCAGACTTACGAACACTCGGGTTTTCTATATAAGCAAATCGAATTGCGTTTCAGGACAGTTCCAATTTCGATGCGCTTGTGTTATGTTATAAATATGTGATTAATAAATAATATTTTAGCTGTTATAAATCAATTCGTTTTAAAACTAAGAATTATTGACAAATTTGGTTTGACGGAGATGTTTTCTTATTTTAACACATTAGGAAAGTCATAAATTATCAACTTCAGGAATGGCTTTCAGCTTCCTGACTCAGCCATGCAGGAATAACACGATAGTACAAATATAAACCCTAAAGTTCTACCACAGATCTACACATACACAGATTGCTAACCTTATGCATTTTTTGGGAAACAAATTTAGGTATACTTAAAAGCGCCCTCTATTGCGGAGCAGTATAAACATGTATCGTTTAAAACTCTAATATGACGCTTATGGATTTATGCGTTAGATGTCGCTGAAACAAAATTAAAGCGCTAAAGTTTGCACAATTCGAATTCCTTAATATTCGTATTATTACAGTAATATGATATGAGGTACGTTGAGCCATAATTGTTTAATTTAACACTGGAGCTACTCATTCGTCGTAAGGAAGTTATTAAAAGCGGGTCCCTGTGGTCACAGATACACACGAACATAGGGCAGGTCCTTAAAGAATTGTGAAGGTTTTTTGAAGTTGGCGGACACTATTTGCGGCTTTAAAGGTCTTGACAGATTGCGAACCGCAAAGGCATACTTACAAACTATGTATATCTCTGCCATCATTAACGTTACACTCTTTACCACGCCGATAAGATATAAGATAGGGAGGTTATTTTCGAAAAGTTGATAGTTTTCGAGGTGTAAGCACAAAACTGCTAAAAAAATATCTTATTCAACTTTTTTTGTATTGTTTTCAATGTTGCGTCATGAAATTTTGTTAGCAAACCTCAGATTCGGATTCAGCACCCCAAAAATCATATAGAATCAAAGAAATCAAAACTACCCCACAACCTTCCTGGTAAAAATACAATTAAACTGGATTATATGCACACTTTACCGCTTTAAATTGTTTGCAGCGACATCTAATGCGTAAATCCATAAGCGTCATATTACAGTTTTAAACGGTACATGATTATACTGCTCCGCAATAGAGGGCGCTTTTAAGTATACCTAAATTTGTTTCCCAAAAAATGTATAAGGTTAGCAATCTGTGTATGTGTAGATCTGTGGTTCTACCAAGCGCGGATTCAGTTTCTACAAAAGGGGGGAGTTGCATGCAGTAATAGTACATTATACAGAGTGAGCAACAAAGATTGAAGCGTGCCGCTTCAGCTAAATTGGCAATGTGCCGCTCATAGCATATGCTGATTTGATACAAGATACGAAATACGAATAGACGCACGTCACTGTGACAGCGCAGAACGTCATTTTCGTATACAACTCCATACAAAGAAGGTAGTTTTGATATTAATAGGAACAAGCGGTGATGACGCACGCTTCAATCATTGTTGCTCACACTGTATATCAAGGTAGAGAAGTCCACTATTATTGCCTGAGCACCAAGATTACATCTCGAGGCGCTTGCGCCGAGGGGTGTAAGGTGCGAAGGCAATAATAGACTTCTCTACCGTGGTATATATACTATTTTTTCACTACTAGCACTTGAAATCCTCTAAATTAACATATTATATTGATAAGAGAGTTAACGGTTGGACAGAATTGTTTGTTTCTTAATTTAACATGTCAATCAAGTACGTGGAAGTACAAGTCAAACAGGCCGTATTTTGTTCTGTCATTGAGATTTTTCAAAGAGTAATTTCGTTCGAATTTTTTCAAAATGTGATAATTTTAGGTATGTAATTTCTCTGGAAATTGTGAATGGTGGCAATTATTCGTTTTAGAGAACTTGTCTAAACGTTCATTGAGCGAAATTTCGGGTTGTGTTTTCTAAAAGTGACAGCGTGACAGTTCTCATTATTGACTACTAGTTAATAATAAAAAATTATTAACCACTTTGAACAAATGCCGAGAAAGCCTACTTTACAAGTGGAAAAAAGGTTAATAATCATGTCATCAGACGCTAGTAGTGAAAAAAAAATATGACGGACGTCATAGTGAAAATTTCGTCCAACACGGACATGCGCACAAAATGCATTTTCTTCGGAAAAGGGGCGGGGTTGCAACCGGCAACCCCTTACCTGAATCCGCGCTTGAGTTCTACGATATGCCGTTGCCGAGATCGATTTATAAAAGGCGCCCGAACAGCCGGAAGGTAGTGTAACAATAATCCAAAAATATTTGTAACGGTTCCGGTTAGGGTTTGGGTTTTACAAAATAATAGAGGTTTCGGTTCCAAATTTTGTTCGGCTCATAACAGCTTTTTTCGGTTCCAAACAGGGGAGGGATCCAGACTCATTAGAAATAACGGTTTCGTTTCATATTTACATCAGAAACTAATTTTTCTGAAGTTATAGCTTTTATTATTTCCTTGTAATACTTACACAACCGTACTAGAAAGAATTACGGTTTCGGTTCTGACAAAATAAACAATTTCGGTACGTTTTTAGTCTATTTTTTCGGTCCGGCCTTGATCCCTGCATATGCCCACTGCCTTAAACAAACATACAAGATTCTAACCTAACCTGCCAAAAAATAGAATAAGGTGATGTCGATTTTCGGCGTGGATACCTAGTTCCTTTGAATTAAACATGAAAATTGTATGGCTAAAATTGGCTAAAAGGCAGTGGTCCACTAAAAATAATATTCACTGTCATGTAGATATTCTGTATCAATAATTTATTATAAATAGTTTAGATTTGCTAACTTTACACTCTAAAATTTACGTAACAAAAACTGGACTCATCATCTTGTTTACCTTATTGTTGTCCAACATTTTAGGTGAGTATGATTACATGAATGAGAAAAGGACAAAAACTATGTTAGTATGCCTTATGCTAATCAAATCACCTATCCACAATGTTTTTAAGAAAAAGACGGAATGAACAGGAGACTCCAATTTTGTCGCAGACCAAGTGACCGTCCCTAACGTTCGTAATGCTTCTATTTCTCATTAGGTCAAATTTTTGAATTTTTTTTTTTGCATTCGTAAGTGAACACAGTGAATTAGAGACGCAGTTTTATCGATCCACCTAAAAACAACTAAAGTCATTTGCACCAAAGATCACCTTTACGTCACTCGTTTTGTTTGGTAAACAATTTCAAACGAGTTCTTTATTGTCTATCATATACCAAAACACGAGCAAGAACGAAGAAATAATTTAGGTAACATATTGGGAACTTGGTTCACAAACAAGTTACATAAAGATCATCTTTGTTCCAAACGACTGTATGGTGAATGGATCAAAATGACTGATCGGGCGAAAACTTACTACCTACTTACTCGTCTTGCTCCCTGAAATAAACAACGATTTAAAAGTACACGTTTAGTACATCTACTACAGCCAAAACTACAGGAAAAAGGCATGGGGTTATTGTAAGCGAAATAAAATAAAAACAGTTTTTAGGTACATGCTTTAATGAAAGAAGTTAAAAATACAAATCTAAGGACAGGTAACATGTAATTATATTTCTAATCAAATACTGATGAAAGCGTATCTACAGGTGTCTTTAAAATTCTTCTTCTAACAGAAACAATTAAAAGTAATAGTGTAAATGATAACGAAAGTAATATACATTAAAATAGTGTTATCTAGCGACATCAGTGCGTTCGCGTAGAGAATGAATTATAAGGATAAACAAAGAACAGTTAAGAAAACTTGGACGGACGACATTAATCAACATATATAAAAAAGTTCTTCGTGTATCACTGCCAGGTCGCAGTTGAATGCATAGTCCTGCGTGAAGGTGTTTGGGAGCAGGAAGATAGCGACTCACATGAAACACTTGGGAAATGTAGGACTAGTTGGTTCTTCTTTGATTGTCACCACTGTAAAAGTAGCTGGGGATCAGCGGGAGGCGAGGTGTGGGGACCAGAGTACTCACTATCGGGCGGCCAGTAAGACGGATAACGGGAACTGTCTTGGCGAACACCACAAGCACTAAATGCGGGGGAAGGGTATCCTTGCTGCGTGTACGACGGAGTGGAACAGCTTGAGTAGGCTATCTGAGACTGTCCGAGCCACGATGCGGTATCGTACCGCGAGTACGGCGGAGGATAAGTTGGTGGTGTGAATATATTACGCGCCAGTGGCAACCCGTGCTGACCCAAAGGATCGCCAAAGAACGCCTTTGCGTACGGTTGAGCGGATCTGTAGGGGCGTTTCATTCGTCTACGTCGGCGATAATTTCCATTTTCGAACATATCTTCGCATTGGGGATCCAACGTCCAGTAGTTCCCTTTACGTTCGCCTCCACCTTCACGCGGAACTTTAACGAAGCATTCGTTTAAGGACAAATTGTGACGGATGGAATTTTGCCAGCCTTTTTTATTGCGTTCGAAATAAGGAAACTTTGCAGTGATGTACGTATATATTTCTGATAGGGTGGCCCGTTTCGCATTTGAGTTTTGAATTGCCATCGTGATTAGCGCTACATACGAGTACGGAGGTTTTCCTTGCGCGTTTGCACTGGTGGAAGAGGGTTGAGGAGACTGTCTACTACTGGTTGTTCGAGATTCATCTGCTGAGGATTCAGATATTTGCGGCTGAGGTGTGCTCGTCGGACTGTAGGTGGACACTGATGAAGAATTTACTGAAACAAAAGAAAACTGTTAGAGTGGTCAGGAACGAGAAAAGTTCCACCGGAAACAATACTTCATTTCAAACAATTGCCATCAGACATGAATAGTTGTTTTCGGTAGATCATGCAAAAAATAATAATTGTCAAAGTCGTTTTTCACTCTGTAGATACCTACAACCCACACAGAGATATGCATTGTAACGGGTGCCCGATAATGCATTTAATATTTTTCAATTTTTATATATACTCGTGTTTGAATTGAATTACGACCGTGTAAATTTTCATGTGTACCGCTTCATGCGAATGGTAATGTCGAGTAGGATTAATGGCGGCAACGATACGTGTTTAGATAGTTTGGGTTAGATAGCAAATTTCTGCAATAAGACAGACGTGAGTTGTCAAATTTGCGTTGGTTCCGTTGAGGGAATTTCGGTTCCGTTTCGGGTTTCCTAGGCGGCTCTGATTAGGGAAAATGTTAGAAAAGAGACGAGGGGTCGCTAAAGCGTAAAGTTTCTCCAAGAAAAAGTTTGACGCTCGACCCCTATTAAGGGGTGATCCAGTAATCCAAGGCTGGACGACACAACTAGTAATTTTAGTTGCTATATAAATAAGGTTCGATTCATTTTTGTAACCGGTTTGAGAATTTTAAAAGGATAATTCCACTGTATATAATTTCCATGGATGAACTCACTTAGAAGAAGGTACAAATTGGTTTTTCCACTTCAATTCAATACTAAGTAACGAAAATCTTCTAACTGATTTGAAGAATATACTTTTTAAGACTGTGATTTGTTTGTAAAAAAGGAGATATTAGCTTACGTATTGTTTCATTGTTCGTGTATCCAATGAGTAAATAGAAAACTTCCAATAGTTCGTTCAATTTTAGCACTGGGTTTTGAAATTAAGTTAGGATTCATTTTTGGAGGGCTGCAGATTTTGATTGATTTTAAATTTTAGTATACCTACAAAAATATTTTGATATTTTATCTTTATTTGTCATACAACTGATGTAAGGCGGAAGCGACTATTTTACATTTCCAGGTTTAGAGGAACTAGCTCCATTTTCGTAACGAAATTGTTTCAAAGTACAAAGTTGAGCTAGCCGTCGGGATATTTTGGGCGAAACTTTCGTTAATTAAAAAAATGATAACCTGATTGTACCGGGTGACCCGATAAGACTGTTCCTCGGCCATATCTCGAGAACCGTTCGCCATATGACTTAGGGACAAAAAAAATTATTGGGTAAATCGGTCATGAAGAATCGCTGGAAAATATTTTCAAGTTTTAAAAATGAGCAACAGAGGGCGTAGCTGCTATCTTAAATTTTAACATTGCATTTTCTTTAAATTTCGCATTATAAACTAAAAAAATTTTGTTCACATTTTTAAAGAGAACCAGCTTATCTATCATTTTCATAAAAACAAAAACTCAGTTATTTCAAAAACAAAGATGGTGTGGGGCGTTCAATTGTTTTTGCAATAACCTGCTTTATCTTCTTAACCGCCTGACCGCTATTAACAGATTTGGTATGGTTGAAAAGAGCATTCCTTGGGCATTGAGAATCAACCATATAGTTAATTTAGTTGAATCCTTCTCCGCCAGAGGGCTAGTTTTGACACTATGACCCAAAAGCCTAAAAAATCAAAAAAATCTGATATGACTTTTTCTATATGAAAAAGTTGGCAAATAACACCCAAAGAGGCCAGTGAAAAACGTTTTTCAAAATTTCGTTCCTAACCTCACATATTGGGAAAATGAGATTAATTAATTAATTAATAAAAATGCTGGCGATATATTATGAGTATTTTCAAAATGCGACCATCGCTGCCCACATCTTCTATTTGCGTTATCCGAATCGACCAACGAACCATCGCCGCCAGCATATTAAATGCTTCTTGGTTAGAAATCGGCATTTTAGAAAAGATTACAAATTCAAAAAACCGCACTTTCTGAATGTAAACACAGCAGAATAATTTACAAATTACGGCTGTTATTATTTTATAATGCATCGTGTTTCATTTGTTTAATTTTCCAAGGCCTACCTAAAAGTGTAGGGTCCTTTTCCAGACAATCTTTCGCACCATCGACAAATACCGGAAATACGTCAAATAAGATACAATTTAAGCATTTTTATTATTAATTAATTAATCTCATTTTCCCAATATTTGAGGTTAAGTACTAGATTTTGAAAAACAGTTTTCACTGGCCTCTTTGGATGTTATTTCATATTTGGCTACTTTTTCATAATCATTCCATTTGATTTTTTAAAATTTTTTTAGGATTTTGGATCATAGTGTCAAAACTAGCCCCCTGGCGGAGAAGGATTCACCTAAATTAACTAAATTAACTATATAACTGGTTGATTTGTTAAAATCGGTCAAACGGTTAAGAAGTTAAAGCAGGTTATTGCAAAAACAATTGAACGCCCCACACCATCTTTTTTGAAATAACTGAGTTTTTGTTTTTACGAAAATGATAGATAAACTGGTTCTCTTTAAAAATGTGAAAAAAGAATGTTTAGTTTATTATGCGAAATTTAAAGAAAATACAATTTTAAAATTTAAGATGGCAGTTAAGCCCTCTGGTGGTCATTTTTAGAACTTGAAAATATTTTCCAGCGATTCTTCATAACCGATTTACCCAATAATTTTTTTGCCCCTAAGTCATATGACGAACGGTTCCCGCGATATGGCCGAAGAACAGTCTTATTGGGTCACCCAGTACAAGGCACTCCAACCCTTTGTTAGATTTTGATGCTCAATAGTAATAATTTTTTCATCGATCAACCGTTTACGTGGTCGAAAATCTTCTTGTTCCATATATGCTCGATTTTAATCCCGAGAGCTGTTCACTCTGGATTTACTTGTAAGCATGCCTACCCGCCACCCATTTGATTATGGATAACGTTTACGGTAAAGGGAATCAGCAAGCGATCCCCAAATGAAATTCACAAAAATCTTCACCTCTTGAAATTATATGAGATTCTAATGTAACAATCTACCTACAAATATGATGATTTGGAGAGGTTGTACTTAAGAGTATTAATTTATGAGTAGGTAAACTAATTGTAAAATTGTCATTTAAACTGTGTTCAATCGTGACCAAGCACACCTGATCTCCAGTTACAATCGCCAAAGTTCGTCCATAAAAATACAACACCAAAACATTCCCACCAGCATGACCGATAGATGGTTTAATGGTCTAGTAAACCCCAAAGGTAACCGCTTCGAAAGTAATGTGTCGTTTACGCTACATTTACTCTTTCACTATTAACGTATTGGCGATGGGTTTTATGAACATGTTATAATCGTCCAGTTTAAAAAAAATTTCGTTCAATAATCAATTTAGAATGCACCGCCGTTTGTATGCCGAAACCTTTTGCAATTTCGACATCAGTCTAACTTTCGCAATTGCTTTTCAGATTACACGGTTTATCGTTTACTTAATATAATTTTTGTGCATAAAAAGATACCAACAACTTTTAACATGATAAATTTGCACTTGCCCTACAATTACGCCACATTATTTTTATTCATGGCAGATGTTAAATTTATATTTTAATAGGTTTAAATGAGTAGGCTAAGTCGCTCTCTAACCGTAAGTGATAAGGGTAGATAAAGTGAAACCACAGTAAAACTGATGATTGCGTATTCTAATGACATGAATCTGTCATTCTTATTTCAAATGGGACGCGGAGCACAATATAAAATGAAGTTCAGAGCATATGACAATGCCATTTGTATGGAAACGACCGCGACGGCCGAACCCGTCTAATTTTGACGTCTAAATTATGTTCAGAATTGAATAAACCTTTATCGTCTTGTATAATAAATAACTATTATTTAATTTGGCTAGAATGACACTTTCTATACAAATTAGGTATATAATTTGTTCCGGTTAAAATCTTTATATTAAATTATATAGGGTGGTTTTATCTGGAATAGTTATTTGATGAAATACTAAGTGTTTAGTATCACTGGTTTATCGAGTGATGTAAAAATCCAATATAGCGTCCATTTAAAATAAGGAAGTTGATGTCAATATCACGGAAACCGCCATTTAAAAAAATATATACTCTACGTCCTTTGAATTTATTCCATCGAATCTTGCAACTTTTATTTAAAACTGTTTTCAATAGCTCTCTTTCTTACTAAAATATTTGAACTTTTAAAAAATGGCGATTTACACTTTTTCCAATTATCTACGAAACGAATTATTAAATATCGCATGGCAACATTTAACCGAATCTGTAAGTATAATAATAACAGACAGACAGAAAAGAAAAGCTATACCTAGTCATTAGCGGGTACACAATGGCAACGTTGTACCTTTTTTTTGACATTCAGAGGATTGTTGTTAATTGTCCAGTAAATGAGTGCGAGTGTGAGTAAGTTTGCAGGCCAAGATGAAGTCGAGTTGCTTGAAAAACTCTACTAGAGATAAACTACACAGTAATGATTTTTCATGTGTAGACCCAGCTAGAAGGAACTAAAGCTATTACTTTTGAATTTAATGTTAAACAATAAGAATCTTCCAGCTGAGTTTTGAAATTATGCTTAAAATACATTCTTCACCTCGCCCAGAGTAAGTATGCTAACGAACCACCGTTGTTCTATTTGAACAAATTGCCTTAGAATAGCAAACATCATTAAACAAACTATAAAAGGCGGTCAAATCGATTTTCCAAGCCTCGGCGACTAAACAATGGACTGTTTGAACATAGCCATCCTACACTAAAAACCTAAATATTTGAAGATTAATTAAACCCTCTTTGAGAAACACCCGGTATACAAATGAAGAATCTTTGTATATCAATGTTCCCCAGACAAATGTTATAGCGTCTCAAACTGCTGCCAATATAATACCCTTTTAAGTTGAAGCTAATTTGCATATGATTAGTCAAATCCATTTTCTCGGTCCTGTAGGCAAAATCCTTTGCATATACAAAAATAATTTAATTAGAAATTAAGTACCTACCTTCACAGCGATTAAAATTTTCCCGTGTTTTGTAATTACCTTACCATTTTACGTTAAAGCCTCTATCAATACCCGTATAATCGATCTTACGCATGTTATTGAGCAATTGTGGATTAAATTAAAAACTGGCAACCGAATCACTGCATCTGTGGCTTTGTGTCGACCTCCCGATTTGCATCGCGATAATTATGGCGAGGAAAAGGGGTTTGCG